TCTCCCCCCTCCCTACGTCCCCCCCCGATCCACCCCACAGATGCCAATAAACTGACGCTATCTCTTTTTCTCCTTTGGGTACCTCTCTCTCGCACTCAAGGGGCCGTGGGTTAGATACGGCCTAGATTACCTACTTCTGTTTTATTATTCCGCACCGATAGAAGCCAAATAAAGTAACATTCCTTTATATTTTACTTACATCGTGTGTCTCACTACTTTCTACGAGCCCTGATCACGACCGAGCGAATCCGCGAGCTCATAAAAAGTACACCCGTTACATTGGCGCCCGAACAGATAGGACCGGCCGGGACACACGATTTTTTTTTGCTCTCTCTAACGGCGTGGTCAATAACAGAGCGTTATGAAGACTTGGCTGTACATGCTCTCGAAAGAGCAACTGATATCGGTAGCCACCCAGCATGGCATCGACGCAACCGGCACACTTGAAGACATCCGCCACCGGACAAGCCGATATGTAGACTTGCACCCGGCAGAATTTGGGGCACAAGGCTCGGACGCCCGGAACACGCGGACGTCCCCGCGAACAGAGATCGCATCACCGAGCGAACACCGCGACGAAAGGCGCGGATTCGAATCCGCGAATACAAAGATGTTAGAACAGCTGCGGAAATGGGGACGTCCATTCGACGGTCGCGATCCAATCGCGTTCCTGGAACGCATAGACGCCCTCCGCGCGGGCTACGGGTACTCCGGCGAGCAGTTGCTGAAGGGGCTGTCCGAGCTCCTACGAGGAGACGCCGTCGCATGAGCGCGAAATAATCGCGAAGACTGGCGGACGTGGGGGGACTTTTGCAGCGCCATCCGCCGGCGGTATCTGCCCCCACGATACATCGAAGATCTCCAACAACAAATAGTCGAACGAAAACAACGAGAGACGGACAAGTTCGCGCCATATGCAGACAAAATGATGACGCTCATACGCCGAGCCGGGGGGTTTACGCGCGAACAACGACTGTCGCGAATTTACGCGAACATGCGGCCAGATTATAAGAGATACGTCAAACGCCAGGACGTGCACGACCTGAACGAATTATTCGATGACGCCGCAGAATTCGAGCGGATCGAGCAGGAGCAACCGAGCCGGAGACCGTACAGCGCTGCGACATCAACCGTAACGACCGCGTATAACCGGGAGGAGTGCTGTTGGCGCTGCAAACAGCGAGGGCACATCTGGTTTCAGTGCAAGCAAGCACCCCGACGGTTCTGCTCGCAGTGCGGGAAGGACGGAGTCCTTACTAGCAACTGCCATCCGCCGCCGAGAAACGCCAGACGCGCCGGGAGTATCACGGCCGAACCCCGGGCGCCCAGACGTGAAGTATACACCTCGGCCACATATTACGGCTACAATCCACGGACATTCCGTGGTAGCCCTACTCGATTCAGGATCAGAAATCTCGTTCATTAATGCCGAAACCAGCGAGACAATGGAAAGGCTAGGCATCAAGCCCAACGAGGAGAACGGCCAGGTTCAAATGGCCGACGGCACCGCCGCCCGGACGCTCGGGAAAACCCGACTATCGATGGACATACAAGGGCGTACCTACGTCCACGACTTCTAGATTCTGCCGACTCTCCGAGAAGCCGCGCTCATTGGAATCGATTCGTGGAGCCGCATGGGGCTCACGATCTCACCGCGGCGACAACTACGAGCCCGACACCGCCACCCGACCTGCGGAAAAACCAGCGGCCTGACCACTAGCACAAAGGAAGAAG